TTTACTTGACAGAGATCACAAGTAGGCAGAGAGAGAGAGGGGAAGCAGGCTCCCCGCTGAGCAGAGAGCCTGATGTGGGGCTTGATCCCAGGACCCTGAGATCATGACCTGAGCCAAAGGCAGAGGCTTAACCCACTGAGCCACCCAGGTGCCCCAAATCTTTTGTTTTAAATAGACTTGTACTGTATGTGCACTATAGTATCCTTCCCCCCAACTTTGTATCAGGAGCATAGCTATAAATCTCGTGCTATAATGATGTCTAGTATTTAATTGTGTTAACATACTATAGTTTATTGAACCAATTCTCTCTTGTTGGAACTTTGGTTGTGGCTCATTTTTTGTTATGAAATTATTTCGTTATAAATGATTCTGCAGTGATTCTTTGTCATGTGAGTCTTTATTTCCTTGGGATAAATTTCTGGAAGTGGCATTGTTGGGCCTTATGTATGCATTGCTAAATTGCTCTTAAGACAGGGTTTATCGGGGCACCTGGGTGGCTCAGTGGGTTAAGCCTCTGCCTTCAGCTCAGGTCATGATCTTAGGGTCCTGGGATCGAGCCCCATATCAGGTTCTCTGCTCAGCAGGGAGCCTGCTTCCCTTCCTCTCTCTCTGCCTGCCTCTCTGCCTACTTGTGATCTCTGTCTGTCAAATAAATAAAATCTTTAAAAAAAAAATCTTTAAGTCCTTAAAAATCTTAAAAAAAAAAAAAGACAGGGTTTATCAATTTATACCATCTTTAGAATGCTTACTTAGCAGGGGTGCCTGGCTGGCTCAGTCGGTTAAGCATCTGACTCTTGATCTCAGCTCAGGTCTTTTTTTTTTTTTTTTTTTTTTTAAAGATTTTATTTATTTATTTGACAGAGAGAAATCACAAGTAAGCAGAGAGGCAGGCAGAGAGAGAGGGGGAAGCAGGCTCCCTGCTGAGCAGAAAGCCCGATGCGGGGCTCGAACCCAGGACCTGGGATCATGACCTGAGCCGAAGGCAGCGGCTTAACCCACTGAGCCACCCAGGCGCCCCATCAGCTCAGGTCTTGATCTGAGAGTTGTGAGTTTGAGCCCTGCCTTGGACTCCATGCATGGAGCCTACTTAAAAAGAAAGAAAGAGAGAGAGAGAGAAAGAGAGAGAGAGAGAAAGAAGAAAGAAAGAAAGAAAGAAAGAAAGAAAGAAAGAAAGAAAATGCTTACTTGTGCCAATCCCAGGAATTATTATTAGTTTTAAAATATTTTATTTATTTATTTCAGAGAGAGCACGAGAGACCGAGAGAAGCAAGTGTGTGAGCTCAAGCAGGGGGAGCGGCAGACTCTCTGCTGAGCAGGGAGCCTGATGTGGGGCACGATCCCTGGACCAGGTGCCCCCAGGAATTATTTTTTGAAAACCTTGGTCATTTTAGTAAGCCCCAAATGGCTTCTCATTATTATTATTTTTTTATTTTTTTAAAGACTTTATTTATTTATTTGACAGAGAGAGACACATGAGAGAGGGAACACAAGCAGGGAGAGTGGGAGAGGGAGAAGCAGGCTTCTCGCTGAGCAGGGAGCCAGATGGGGGGCTTGATCCCAGGACTCCGTGATCATGACCTTAGCCAAAGGCAGATGCTTAACAACTGAGCCACCCAGGCATCCCAGGCTTCTCAGTATTTTAATTTGTATTTCTCTAATTCCTTGTGAGGTAGCAACTTTTTAATGTATTCACTGTCCACTTGTGTTTCTTTTTCTGATTGTGTGCTCACCATTTTTGTCCATTTTCCTAGTGGGCTGCTTATCTTTTACTTACTTCCTGGCCTTCTCTATAGTAAAGACATTAATGGGAGTCACTGTCTTGTCGCAGATAATTCCTGTCGGTGTGCTGCTCTTTGCCTTTTAACTTTGTGCTGGCAGGTTTCTGATGACTACAACTTTTTATTGGGGGCTCTTTTTCTGTGCAGTTTCTTCCTTTGCTTTTATAACAGTACATTTTGATTAATTTCTGTTTTCTACTTATAAACAATGTGATACTTACTTTGGAAAAAGGTTTAAAGAAATGCAAACAGGTACACCATGAGTCCCTTATTCAGTGCTGTTGATTGCGGCTGTTTTTGGTTTTCCCTATGATGAGTAAATAGAATAGGACTTGATCTTTGGCTTTTAAAAGTGTCAGTTTCGGTATTTAAGATCCAAAGGTTAGAAAGGGTTTTCCTGCTGCCAGTGTTGAACCGCCACAGCTTTTCCCTGCTCTGGGTCTCCTAGCAGAAGATACCTTCCCTTCCTTCTGGCCATTCTCCGCCAGTCCCTGAGATCGCCTTTTTGGAGAGCATCACTTTCTTCTGTTGCGGCCCCTGTGACTTCCCGGTAGGCAGCAGTAGGCTCCCAGCTAACCCTGGCTCTCACCACCCAGCTACTGCCTCTCCTCCCTCACCGGCTTTCTGCAGCTCCTTGAAAACACCAACCTATTCTGCCTTTCTCCCTCAATCTCCCCCCACCCCAGATTATAAAAAAAAAGGGGGGGAGGGGGAAGGGGGAAAGAAAGAAACGTACACAGCAAATGTCACAGGGGCACTTCCCTGTAGTTTGGATCAGCCTGCCCATTTGGGGATGCTAGTGCTCTCCCTGTTGCCAGTGCACTCCTCTTGCTGACGGGCTCCTGTTTCAGGAGACAGTCATTTGTGTCCAGGAGCTTTCCATCTCATTTCAGAGTGAGATGCTGCCCATTGTATTTAGTTCAGATAATTGGTATTTCAGTTTATTATTACCAACCATAATTAGATATATTCCCTGTGGTGGGTATTTTTCATTTTCTGTGGGAACTCTTAAGCAGGCAGATGTGTTTTGTTGGGGGTTGGGGGGGGGGGCAAGAAACCGAACCTGCGAACCTATTGATCCCAGGGGCTGGTAACAGATACACCTGTGCTATGCCACCTGCTCCCCTGTGGGTCTTTTTTTTTTTTTTTTTTTTTAAAGATTTATTTATTTGAGAGAGCAAGAACTGTGAGTGGGGGGAGAGGGGCTGAGGAGAGGGAGAGAGACTCTCAGGCAGACTCCCCGCTGAGCAGGGGCTGGGTCCCAGGCCCCTGAAATCATGACTGGAGCTGAAATCAAGAGTCAAATGCTCAACCAACCGAGCCCCCCAGATGCCTCTCCCCTGTGGTTCTAAGTGGGTTCCCCCCCTTTACTTACCCCTCTTAAAATTATAAAAGCAATCTGTCAGCACAAAGAGTCCTGAAAAATAACTCACCAGTAGTCCCACCACCCTGCATAATTCCTTTCCTTTTTCTTTTAATCTTGGCTCAAATGCATACTTAGTTTTACATTGTTCTAGTCTGACAACGTTTTTTGGTATTAGTTTTTTTTTTAAACTAAACACTGTAAGTGAAATTTTTTTTTAAAGATTTTTAATTTTGGGGGTGCTTGGTTGGCTCCGTCGGTTAAGTGTCTGCCTTTGGCTCAGGTCATGATCTCAGGGTCCTGGGATCGAGCCCCACATTGGGCTCTCTGCTCTGCTCTCCCCTTCTTCCTCTGCCTGCTGCTCCCCCTGCTCGTGCTCTCTCTCTCTCTCTGTCAAATAAGTATACAAAATCTTTTTAAAGAAAGGAAATTATAAAAAAAGATTTTTTATTTTTAGTAAACTCTGCCTCCAGCATGGGGCTGGAACCCAACAGCCTGAGATCAGAGTTGCATGCTGTCCCGACAGAGCCAGCCAGGCGCCTTAGCACTCTTAAGTGATTTTCCATGTTGCCGTGTAAATGTCATCATTAGGATTTTTAATGGCCACATAATAGTCTATCAATTATTTAATCGTCCGTATTCTTGGACATTTAGATTCTGTGTGTGTGTTTGTCTCTTTTGTGTTGTTTTAATAACGCCGTATACTTTAGTGTGTAGCTTTCAGGGATTTTTGTTCTTAGGATAAGAACATTGGCCTTGGGGTTCCTGGACCGGAGGGTTTCTCACATGGCTGGTTCTGTGTAGCCACTGAACTGCTTTCTGAGAGTCGTGTGGTTCTGCGTTCAGACGGGTTTTCAGTGTAATCACAGGGCAGGAAATAACGTGAGCCTGTGCGGCTCTGGGGTGCCGAGGCAGGTGCAGGATTTGGGGCTGAGCAAGGGAGGTGGTGGGGTTTCCCCTTCTCTCCAGCAGTGGTTTCCTGACGTGCCTCTTCCTAGGACCTTGGCTTTCCTCTCCCTCAGTAGTGCTGTGGTTCTCCTGCTCCAGAGCATGAAGGAAACAGCTGGCTTTGCTTTTCTTTGTCTATTAAGTTAGAATAAAATTTGGGGCTTCCCTGACACTGTTCACTGGACCATTTGATAACAATGTGGGGCTTTGAGAGTCGCTCTGCCCCTTACATCTAGGATCCATTCACTAGCCAGTAAGAGTTTTGGGTGAAAATGAAGGAACCAAGCAGACACCGCCTCAAAAAAATAAAGGCCTAGGAGATGATGTAATTTGCTGGAGTGAGTTTGTGGGACAGCGTCAATCCTGGTAATAGCAAGTCATCTTGGATTTGATTGAATTCATCCAGCAAAAAAGCCAAAATTACAAAGTTAATGATAAAATATTAGGAGTTAAATTAGCAGAAGCCATAGCCGCATCTCATCTATGAATCAGAAGTTTTCCAAAGAAAAGAGGTGCTGAGCTGCGCTTGTTTTTTTTAAGGTCTCAGGGCTTGGGCTTTGCTAGTGCGCGTGGTCAGGGAGTGCGGCTCGTCCCTGAGGCACTGAGGCAGGGCGATGGAGTGTGCTCACTCTCTGGCTGTGCGGCCAGCCGGGGGCTTCCAGGTGCTGATGTTTAGGCCTGGCCAGGCAGGCTTGTCCCTACTCTATAAACCTCTCTTTCCACCCCACCCCCAGGGTCCCCAGCATTCTGAAAACCTGTTGGAGTAAAAGTCAGGTGTGTGACCTTCCAGAGTCTGGGGTCATGCGTGTGCATCCTGGCTGTGTGCGTGTGTGTTGGTGTGATGGAGACGATGCTGGACAGAGTCCAGTGGGATCCTGGGGATCGCTGATTCTGTTCTGTTTCTGTTGTAGCCCTTGCCAGCATCCAGCCATGGGGGATATGAAAACTCCAGATTTTGATGACCTTCTGGCTGCCTTTGACATCCCAGACCCCACCAGCCTTGATGCCAAGGAGGCCATCCAGACCCCCAGTGAGGAGAATGAAAGTCCCCTCAAGCCTCCAGGCATGTGCATGGATGAGAGTGTGTCTTTGTCTCACTCGGGATCATCCTCCGATGTGCCGGCCGTGAGCGTCATTGTCAAGAACACCAGCCGTCAGGAATCGTTTGAAGCGGAGAAGGACCCCATTGCTCCCAGCCTCCTCCACAATGGATTCCGGGGCTCGGACCTGCCTCCAGACCCCCACAACCTGGGCCACAACTGTGGGAAGTTTGATTCCACTTTCATGAACGGAGATAGTGCCAGGAGTTTCCCCAGCAAGCTAGAACCTTCCAAGTCAGAGCCGTTACCAACCTTTAACCAGTTCAGTCCAATCTCCAGCCCAGAACCCGAGGATGCCATCAAAGATAATGGGTTTGGAATGAAGCCCAAGCACTCTGACGGTTATTTTCCACCCCCTCCTGGGTGTGGGCCTGTGGGGGGCCCAGTCCTGGAGGCCCTGGCTAAGTTTCCAGTCCCAGAGCTCCATATGTTTGATCACTTCTGTAAGAAGGAGCCTAAGCCGGAGCCTCTGCCCTTGGGGAGTCAACAGGAGCGTGAGCGAGGAGGGCAGAAGGCGGGGGAGCCTCCCAAGGAGCTGGACACCAGTCGGTTCTTTGGGGAAGCTTTGGAATTCAACAGCCACCCCAGCAACAGTATTGGAGAGCCCAAGGGGCTTGCCCTGGAACTTGGCACCTGCTCGTCAGTCCCCCCGAGGCAGCGTCTGAAGCCAGCTCACTCCAAGCTCTCCTCTTGTGTTGCAGCCTTGGTGGCCCTGCAGGCCAAAAGGGTGGCCAGTGTCACCAAGGAGGATCAGCCTGGTCACGCCAAGGATCCCTCAGGGCCCACTAAAGAGGGCTCCAAAGGTAGCCCCAAAATGCCCAAGTCACCAAAGAGCCCCCGGAGCCCTCTGGAGGCCACTAGAAAGAGTGTCAAGCCATCAGACAGTCCTCGGAGCATCTGTAGTGACAGCAGCAGCAAAGGCTCCCCTTCAGTGGCCGCCGGCTCCCCACCAGCCATTCCCAAAGTCCGAATCAAAACCATTAAGACGTCATCGGGGGAAATCAAACGGACCGTCACGAGGATCCTGCCGGACCCCGACGATCCCAGTAAGTCCCCCGTTGGGTCGCCTCTAGGGAGCGCCGTCGCCGAGGCCCCGAGCGAGGTGCCAGAGGACGAGGTTGCTGCCTTGCCGGCAGTGGCACACTCTCCTGAGGGGGGCACGCGTTCCGGGAGCCCCCAGGGTGACAAGAAAGGGGACGAGAGCACAGTGAAGGCCAGCGAGTCTGCGTCTCCCTGCGGCAGCTCGGGGTCCCGGGTCCCCAAGGGGGCTGTCCCCGGCTCGCAGCCCGGCAAGAAGCAGCAGCAGAGTGCGGTACTGCAGGCCTCTGCCCCGGCCCCTGCCAGCCTCCTGCCCAAGGCCGTGCACCTGGCCAACCTGAACCTCGTCCCCCACAGCGTGGCCGCGTCCGTGACGGCCAAGTCCTCGGCACAGCGGCGGAGTCAGCCGCAGCTCCCCCAGATGTCGGTGCCCCTGGTCCACCAGGTGAAGAAGGCCGCCCCGCTGGTGGTGGAGGTCTTCAACAAGGTCCTCCACAGCTCCAACCCCGTGCCCCTGTACGCGCCAAATCTCAGCCCCCCCGCAGACAGCAGGATCCACGTGCCGGCCAGTGGCTACTGCTGCTTGGAGTGCGGGGACGCGTTTGCCTTAGAGAAGAGCCTGAGCCAGCACTACGGCCGGCGGAGCGTCCACATCGAGGTGCTGTGCACACTGTGCTCGCAGACGCTCCTCTTCTTCAACAAGTGCAGCCTGCTGCGGCACGCCCGCGACCACAAGAGCAAGGGGCTGGTCATGCAGTGCTCGCAGCTGCTCGTCAAGCCCATCTCCGCGGACCAGATGTTTGCGGCCGCCCCCGCCAGCACCCCGGCCCCCGCCGCCCCGGCACCCCCGGCCTCCCCCAAACCTGGCCTCCCCCCGGGCGCTGCCGGCCCGACCCTCCCAGCTTTGCCGCTCTACCCGGACCCCGTGAGGCTCATCCGGCACGGAGTCAAGTGTCTCGAATGTCACAGGCAGATACGCGACTACATGGCTATGGCTGCCCATTTCCAGAGGACGACGGAGGAAAGCGAGGGGCTGGTAAGCAGACCCTCCCTGCGATGGCTGTCAGCCCCCTGGTTTTCGCGAGCTCCATGATTGGGCATGGAGAAAAGCTCCCTGAGGCGGGGGCACTGGTGGCATCTTAGGAGTCTTAGAAGAAGACGCCGGCTTGATGGTTAGTGACCCTCCGTAATGCAGAGTGCTTGGTGTTTACTGGGGAGAGGGTCCTGTCCCCAACTCCGGGGAGACTGAACAGTTCACCAGCTGGGTCTGTGGCCACGCCCCACGTCGGGCTCAGCTCCCAGGCTCCTGGGTGGGCGGGGCCCCTGTCCAGCTGGGGCTGGTCTCTGGGAGGTGTCAGCACGGGCTTTGCACACGCCCAGAGACCTTGGAGGACAGAGGTCGGGCATCAACGCCCTGCTCCTCAGTCTCTGCTCTCAGAACGGGGTGCGTACAGAGCTGTTCTGCTGGGGAGACTGCTGGAGCACCAAGGCAGGGCTGAGGATGGAGAGCAGACGGGCTGTGGCCCAGGCTTTGGGGCCCTCTTCCGTCCGCGTTCGCACCACTCTAGGAAGGCAGCTGCGCTCATCTGCTTGTTCCAATTCTTGGCTCAGCTGATGAGATTGGTTTTTGTTTTTCTGAAGACAGTCTGTGCCGAAAATACCCTTTGGCATCCTTGGTGTTGTGGCTGGCTGTACTGGCCAGGTCCCATGAAAGTAGGCCTCCAGACACGCCTGCAGAAGGCTCTCTGCTTCCTCCTCCAGGTGACTCTCTCCAGGACCCAGCCAAGGCCACCCCTACCTGCACCTCCCTAAACCAGGGCTGCAGAGGCCTGGGAGGAAAGCAAAGCCACTCTTTAGTCCAGCAGGGGCCTGTGTCCCTGTCTGCAGCAGAGGAGCCTTGCACAAGTGTTCCCAGTGTGCTCGGGCCGGAGGGAGGCTCCCTTGTCAGACCCAGGGGTGCCTCGGGGAGTCGCACTGCTCCTCCAGGGCCCACGTAGCTGGGCAGGGACGGGGCTCACTGCTCACCTGCTGCAGGGTGAGGCCGATGACGTCTGGGGCTAAAAGGCTTGTAGACGTGGTTGCCCAGAGGGCCTTAGAGGGACTACCTCACTGTGACTCGGGGCAGAGGGCAGGTGTCTTGTGGCTGGGACATTTGAGTTGGACGTGCAGGAAAAGTTGGGAGAGGGTAGGGTGTCCAGGTACAAGGCATGGAGGTGTGGGAAAGCGCAGTGTGCGCCTCAGGAGCAGAGCTGTGGAACCTGGGGAGTGTGGGGGTGGAGACATGAGGTGGAATTGGTAGCCTATGGTCCTTCTGCGGGGTGGCTGGGCTCCCTGTCCCCCCACCTTTGCCCTCTCCTCAGTTTGCCCTGTGCTTCTGATGAGTCATGGAGTTGGTGACCCCGGCCCTTCGTTCTTTGGCTTCAGTCTTCTTGCTGTCCCCGCATAGCTGTCCCTGCATAGCAGACTGCTTCTTCTAGGTCATGTGATCAGAACCGTTGCCAGCAGAGGTCTGATGCTTGGTGCTTTTCCACCGTTTCTCACTTGCCTTCTAAAATCCGAGCCCTCGGAGGTTGGGGTGTAGGCCCTGGCTCACACCCCTCCCGTCGTGCATCTTCTCCTCTAGCGGGAGCTGGACCCCCAGACAAGAAAGGGAGAGGGGACCCAGGAAGGCCGGCAGGTTTCCCTCAGCCCAGCACCATCCCCCACAAAGTCCCCTGCCAGTAAATGTGGTCTCAGGGAAAGGGCACGTTTGAGGTCTGGGGTCAAAACCTGACCTTGCTGGCTGGTGGATTTGAGTTTCCCCAGACAGTTCCCGGGCTTCCGGCCATGTGCAGAGAAGGGGGTAGACGGCCCGCTCCACTCTAGTAGGTGCAGGGACTGCGGGGGAGCACACGCAGGCCTTCTGGCTTCTCCCCTGCACTGAATACCCTCCCCTGCAGGGGCTGGAGGGCAGCCCTTCCGGCATTCCCAGTCACTTTCCTTGGATGTTGTCAGCACAGACAGACTGTTTCTTCTTGGCCTTAAGCTTTTATTTAACTACGATGTCGTTGTCACATCCGACAAGACGAACAGCTCCTTAATGTTATCTAATACAGGTCCGTATCCGGGTCTTCCTTTCGTGTCGAAAATGATCTTTTTATAGTCGGGCTTCTTTTGAATTAGGATTCAAACATGGACCACATGTTAGCATTTGTGTTTGTCTTTTGAATTTCTCAGTCTAGAACAGTACCACTTCCCACTCCATCCCACCAGACCCCGGTTCTGTTTTACATAGCGCTGATTTGTCAAAGAAACTGGTTCATGCATCCTGAGAATTTTCCAGGATGATTATGGGTTTGACTGACGCTTCCTTATGCAAATAATTTGTTCTTCAGTACCCGGTATTTTATCTGTTGACCAGAAATTGGCAATAAAGACTAGAAATAGGCAGTTTTGTGAAGGGAATATCACTTTCTTCATATTTTATGACTTCAGGGAGGCACAGAGTCCTTGATTGTCTTGGTTTTTGTTTTGTTTTGTTTTTGAAGATTTATTTAACAGAGAGAAAGCAAAAAAGAGCACACAGGCAGGGGGAGCGGCAGGCAGTGGGAGAAGCAGGCTCCCTGCCCCGCTTCCCCCGCTCCCGCAGCTTGGGGCTCAATCCCAGGACCCTGGGATTATAACCCAAGCTAAAGGCGACTGCTTAACTGACTGAGCCCCCCCCCCCCCAGGTACCCCAGATTGTCTTAGTTTTAATGATACTAAACAAGATCAGTGAGTTTAGGTGGGGATGTTCTGATCCCTTCATTGTAGAGTTCCTTATCTTTTACCTGATTATTTTAGTATTCATTAATAATTGCTCCTTGAGTCAGTAATTTTATGAGTTGAAGAAAGGAGTTTTATAATTTTAGTATTTCTCAGTGATTAGCTGGAGTTCTGTGTAAAGTATCTTTCCATCTTTGATGAGGACTATTTGGTTACTTTGAAATATAGTTTATGTTGGAAAATGGGATATATACTTAATTTGTTTTCTAGTTACCAGTTTTTACAGTAGTGAGTTGATGTCCTGACAGTCTCCAGTAGTATTAAGAATCTGTCCTTTATTGTTTTAAAAAAATTGTGGTAAGATGCACATAGCATAAAGTTTACCATTTTCATCATTTTTTAAAGTGTACAGTTCAGTAGCATTAAGTACATTCACACTGTTGTGCAATTTCCAGAGCTCTTTTCATCTTGCAAAACTGAAACTCTATATCCATTAAAGAGCTCCCCACTCGCCCTCCCTCCTGACCCTGGCAACCACCCTCCTGCTTTCTGTTTCTATGAATTTGATTCCACGTGCCTCACACAGTGGAATCACACAGTACTTGTTTTTCTGTGGCTGGCTAATTGCACTCAGCATAATGTCCTCAAGGCTTACCTCTACTGTGGCATGGGACAGGAGTTCCTTCCTTTTCAAGGCTGAATAATAGTCCATTGTGTGTTTATACCCCATTTTGTATATCCACTCACCCGTGGATAGATGCTAGGCTTGCTTCCGCATCTTGGGGATTGCTTGAGTAATGCTGCTTTGAACACAGTGTCCAAGTGTCCCGCTTTCGATTGTTCCAGGTACGTACTCAGAAGTGCAATGGCTAGATCATATCGTAACTATTTTTAATTTTTGAGGAACCACCCCCCTCCCTGCACAGTGGCTGCACCATTTAACATTCCTGCCAACAGAGTGCGAGGATCCCAATTTCTCCACATCCTCGCCGACACCTGCGGTTTTCTGTTTTGTCTGTCTGTTGGTTTGCTTGCCTTTGGCGATAGGCACCCCAGTGGGCATGAGGTAGCCTCCTCTGTTGTTCTTATAATGAGCTCACTGGGTTTCACGTGTGTGGTATGTTGGGGTCAGGTGCTTTTCCATGGTCAGGCTGTTTCCTCTTCGGTCGTGGAGTCCCATCATGCTGGCTCCTACGTCCTGGGATCATGTGAACCCATGAAGCCTGAGAAGCTTCCTTACTTTTCAGTCCCAACAAGGTGTCCTGGGTGCATTTCTTGTGCTAAACGTGGCATCAGCCATCCTTCCAAAGAGCCAGGTGTCTTGTGGTGAGAAATGGTATTTGATGTCACATTCTGGGTACCAGGGATGCTTGGGCATGTCTGCTGCTAGGCCTTTGTGGTGGCCAGAGCTGAGAAGTGTATGTTTTTATTGTATTTATTTATTTATTGGAAAAGTTTTATTTATTTACGTAATCTCTGCAGTCAATGTGGGGCTCAAACTCATTAAAAACTCATGACCCTGAGATCAAGAGTTGCAAGCTCCAACTGAGTCAGCCTGGCACCTCAGGAAGTATATGTATTTTTTTTTTTTTTTTTTTTAGGAAGTATATGTATTTTTTAAAAAATATTTTACTTGAGAGAGAGAATGAGTGAGCAGGAGAGAGTACAAGCCGGGCGGGGGGTGGGTAGGGGGAGAGAAGTGGGCTCCCTTGCTGAGCAGGGAGACAACACGGGGCTCGATCCCAGGACCCTGAGATCCTGAGCTGAGCCAAAGGCAGACGCTTCCCTGACTGAGCCACCCAGGAGCCCCGGAAATATACGTTCTTAAAAAGAAGAAAGAGGGGGTGGAGCACGTGACTCTTGGTCTTGGGGTTGTGAGTTTGAGTCCCACATGAGGCATGGAGCCTACTTTAAAAAAAACAGGGAAGAAAAATCATGAGTTTATACTGGTATTCAAATGTAAAATTGTGGAGTTTTTATGTGACTGATTTTATACTGAAAATCTTGGTTCCTAAGATTTTCCTACCACACACACATATATATGCCCAAATTTTGAAGTATTAATACCAATTTTTTTTAACATCTAAGGCAACTACATAAAGTTGAGGGTGTATTTGCAGTTCTTTCTGGTCTTAGAATAGATCACATTAAGGATGCATCAGTCAAAATACTGCATTTTAAAGGTCACTGGGAACAAGTGTTTTTTCTATATGGTTATGTCACCAACTCGATATGCTGTTGGGTTATTTAGTTTCTGCTTTTCTTTTCTTTCTTTTTTTTTTTTTTAAGATTTTATTTATTTATTTGACAGAGATCACAAGTAGGCAGAGAGGCAGGCAGAGAGGAGGAAGCAGGCTCCCCGCTGAGCAGAGAGCCCGATGTGGGGCTCCATCCCAGGACTCTGGGATCATGACCTGAGCCGAAGGCAGAGGCTTTAACCCACTGAGCCACCCAGGCGCCCCTAGTTTCTGCTTTTCAATTTTTAGGGGATGTTTTTGTTTTTCCTCCTTTAATTACACACACACACACACACACACACACACATATATTTATATATGTATAAATCTTATATATGTATATATATTTATATATATAAATATATGTATTTATTTATTTATATTTATTTTAAGATTTATTTGAGGGAGAAAGAGAGTGAGAGCGTGTATGCATGTGCATGCCTGTCTGTGTGCTGGGGGGAGGGGCAGAGGGCAAGGGAAAGAGAGAATCTTAAACAGACTCCATGCTGAGCTCTGAGCCCTTTGTGGGGCTTGATCTCACAACCCTGCAATCAGGGTTGGGCTGAAACCAAGAGATGGGCACTTAACTGACTGTGCCACCCAGGCATCCCAATTTTATATAATTTTAAAAAACTATGGGGCCCAGGGTGTGCCTGGGTGACTCAGTCTGTTAAACCTCTGACTCTTGGTTTCAGCTCCGGTCGTGATCTCAGGGTCATGGGATTGAACCCACAGAAGCAGTGTGGAGTCTGCTTCCTCTCTCCCTCTCCCTCTGCCTCTCCCCCCCCTTATTTCTCCCCCTACCTCCTTCTCAAATAAACAAATCTTAAGAACAAAACCTTGGACCCGATGACAGGTGTTGGAATTAAAAACAAAAACAACAAAAAGACAAAAAGGCTTTTTATTATGGAATGTCCCAAACATACATAAAAGTGGCCAGAAAGGTAGAACAAACCGTCTTTTAATAATCGCCAGCCCCTGGCCTGTCTCGTTTTTTTTTTTTTTTTTTTTTTTTAAGATTTTATTTATTTATTTGACAGACAAAGATCACAAGTAGGCAAAGAGGCAGGCAGAGAGAGAGGAAGGGAAGCAGGCTCCCTGCTGAGCAGAGAGCCTGATGTGGGGCTCGATCCCAGGACGCTGGGATCATGACCTGGGCTGAAGGCAGAGGCTTTAACCCACTGAGCCACCCAGGTGCCCCGGCCTGTCTCGTTTTATGTATTTTCTCACCTATCCCTTCCCGCTCATGGATTATTTCTAAACAAATCCCAGCATCACTGGGTATGTAATAGTTCTGTCTGTATCTTTAAAGTATGAGGTTTTCCTCACAAAGAACGTGGATATAATATCATGATATCTCGAAGCTAATAATAATGATAATCTCTTATTATTATCAGACCTTAATACCGAGTGTCAGATGTCCCGATGTCATTGTCAGGTTAGTGCTCGGATGTCTCTGAGAGTCTCATCTCTCTCTACAGTTGGCTTGCTTGAATCAGGGTCCAAATAAGAGCTGTACACTGCAATGTGAACCTTTCTCTTAAACTTCTTTTAATCTGTAAGTTTCCTTTTTCTATTTTTCCCTTGAAATCTATTTGTTGAAAAAACTGGGCTGTGTGTCCTATAGAGGCCCCCATGTTCTGGATTTTGCTCTTCCCGTCCTCCTTAATGACTTGTCCCTCTAAGTACCTCCCCTGGGCCCAGGTCAGTGGCTCCCACAGTGAAGAGCGAGCACAGTGGTCCCCTTTTGACCCAGAAGGGCCTCCGCTGACGCAGGCGCCCTCGAGGTCTGCTGCTTCCCCCGGGCTTTGTGTGCTGTGCCCACCAGAGCAGTGCGGGCTGCCGGACTTCCCCCCCACCCCCGCTTTTCTCCTGAGTCTGGGAGCGAAGGAGCTGTTGCCCACTCCACCCTTTCCTGCGGGCATGTGTGGTCGGCCGGCTCAGGGCAGTGGCTCAGGACACCCCCAACAGGGCTGAGGGCACGGACACTGGCAAGACCACTCAGCCCACCTGCCCTGGGGGCTTCTGAGGGCCAATCAGGTCTGCTCTGGACGTCCCCGAGCCACGGGACTAGAGGTGTCCAGCACTGCCTCTGCTGAGCGAGGGCAGAGGGCCTAGTGGGTCTGGCAGTGTAGTGGGCTCTGACACTTGAAGACATGCCTTTGGCCTCTGGAAAGGAAAAGCTGGTCTGCTAAGCCTGAGGGAAGAACATTCCCTGTCCTAGAAGCAGGACTGATATCTGGAAACATAACATCAGTTCTGTCTCTGATGAATAAGGTGAGAGGCAAAGCTTGCTTGGGTGTATCAACACTTGGAACGAGGCCTGGGGGTGCCAGATTTCCTGGGAGGGTTGGAAGAAAACATGGTGGTGGGACCCCATGGGAGGAAAGCCAGACTGCTGTGGTTGGCGAGCTGTGAGTCCGCAGTCCCCGTTGGCTCCTGAGTGACCTGCTTTCTTGGTGTTTCTTCCTAGACTTGCCAGGTGTGCCAGATGCTGCTGCCTAACCAGTGCAGCTTCTGTGCCCACCAGCGGATCCACGCCCACAAGTCCCCCTACTGCTGCCCGGAGTGTGGGGCCCTCTGCCGCTCTGCCTACTTCCAGACCCACGTGAAGGAGAATTGTTTGCACTATGCCCGCAAGGTGGGCTACAGGTGGGTGCTGCCTGGTGTGCTGTCCTGGGCTGGCCCAGTGGCTGGTCCTTTCCTGGGTCTGAGCTCATTTCAGGATGAACTTTGGTCTTAAGAGTCCTGGGCCCCCAGCCTAGTAAGATAGGAATGTAAGTTGGTATTTAGGTGTTTTTATTTTTAGAGAACAAGGGGGTTGGGTAGTAAGAATAAGGAGTTAAAAAGAATTAAACATGAAAAAGTACCTTTGAAGGGATGGTTTTGGGGATTAGTTTGGTTTTTAAAGGTGTGTAAAGTTAATTTATTTACACAGTTACTGTGTTTGGCATATTAAATTTGAAATACCATTACAATCATACACTCACTAATTGCAGTACTTTCGGATGTTCTCAGTTTCCATTAGCAACTGGAACTGCAAGGTACAGAAGGCTTCAGTATCTTTATGTTGAAGAATTTTTGTCCGTTTGTGAAAAAAAAAAAAAAAGCACAACCTGAAAATGGAAAAATGATCAGCCTCATAGTAAAACCAAGAAAACTATTTTAAACTGAATCTACTCCACCTGTCAAGTAAATGTAGGCAAGAAGTCATTTCAGGAAAAAGATCAAAACGGGGAGGGAAATGCCCTCCCAAACCCATTGATCTCTAACTTTTACAACCACTTGGTGAGGCTCCCTTTACTGACTTACTACATTCTGGAGTTTCTACATCTTCTGATGTTTTTACGTTACCACTTTCAGTTACCTGAAAATTAATTTTGTCCAAATTTAGTAAGGTTTTCTTCTCTTTGGTATTTAAAAAAAAATATTTAGTTCATTGAATAACTTTCTTCTTGAGTACCTATTCTGGTCTGTAGTGCTGTGTCGGACCCTCGGGGTACAGAGGGGGTTGTGACAGAGCTGCCGCTGGCAGGGGCTTCAGTGGGGTGGGTCACACACCCATCCAGGCGACGGTAACTAGAGCGGGGAGCCCCCCAGTATGGGAGGTCAGGGATGCTCATGGAGGAGTTAGTAGGTTTTCCGGCAAGCGAGGGAGAGGAGCATGTCTGGCAAGGGTACAGGCAGGGATCTGGAGCACATGAAAGGTTACAGGAATGATGAACATTTTGGGGTGGGGGGTGAGATGAACTGGGGGTAGGGTGGGAAATGAGGCCAGGGCATCAGTAGGGCCAGGCCCAGGCAAGACCTTGGAGTGCTTGGCAGACACTCAGACTTTCTCCAGTGGACAGTGAGGGACTCCCAGGGGAGCAGGGGAGTGGTGTGGCAGACCCGTGCTTCAGGGAGATCTCGAGGGGAAGCTGATGTGCATTAGAGAGGGGAGAGCCCAGAGGTTGGGAGGCAAGTGGGATGGTCCAGATGAGAGGCTGGTGGCTCTGGCTGAGGCACTGGCAGCTGTGGGGATGGAGAGAAGGTAGATCTGGGAGAGCTTTGGGGAGTAAAAGCATCAGAGCTTGATGGTGGCTCGCAAACGGGGTGGAGGCATGGGGAGGGACTGTGGGGACTCCCTGGCTTCTGTCCAAATGTAGACTAGCTTCTTTTGCATGTTATGGGAAATGGAGACCCTTAAGTGCAGGAGAAACAGAACACACCGGAAATGGGTTATTCAGAGCCCTTGCCGCTGTGCTGCAGAGGGGCGTGGCTTGGTAGCATCCCAGCCCAGTGTTTTTTTTTTTTTTTTTTTTTTTTTTTATTTAAGGAATTTCTGGCCCCAACGTGGAGCTCAAACCTACAACCCTGAGATCAGGAGTCACAGGCTCCACCGACCGAGCCAGCTGGGTGCCCCCCACGAGGCCACATTTTTAAACCAAACACCTGAATGTGTGTTTTTACAGTATTGCATAACATTTGAAAGTACCTTTCCAGCTGTGACTTAAGTGTGTGCTGCTGGTTTCAAGATCAAGTCCAATCCACTAAAAATGCAAGCGGTACTTAAATTTTTATCTTTGGATTTTGAATCCAAGAGGTTTCCAATGATACAGATAGATTCATAGCATTTTTAAAAAAGATTTTATTTATTTATTAGAGAGAGAGATAGATCATGAACAGGGGAGACAGGAGAGGGAGAAGCAATCTGAGCAAGGAGCCTGACGCGGGGCTCAATCCCAGGACCCTGGGATCATGACCTGAGCTGAAGGCAGAGGCTTAACAGACTGAGCCACCCAGGTGCCCTAGTCTTTGGTCTTTTTTTTTTTTTTTTTAAAGATTTTTTTTTTTTTTAAAGATTTTATTTATTTATTTACAGAGAGAGATCACAAGCAGGCAGAGAGGCAGGCAGAGAGAGAGGAAGGGAAGCAGGCTCCCTGCTGAGCAGAGAGCCCAATGTGGGACTCGATCCCAGGACCCTGAGATCATGACCTGAGCCGAAGGCAGCGGCTTAACCCACTGAGCCACCCAGGCGCCCCTTTTTTTTTAAAGATTTTATTTATTTGACAGAGAGAAATCACAAGTAGGCAGAGAGGCAGGCAGAGAGAGGAGGAAGCAGGCTTCCCGCTGAGCAGAGAGCCCGATGCGGGGCTCGATCCCAGGACCCTGAGATCATGACCTGAGCTGAAGGCAGAGGCTTTAACCCACTGAGCCACCCAGGCGCCCCAAGGTCTTTTTTTTTTTTTTTTTTTTATTTTGTCAGAGAGAGAGCGCGAGCGAGCGCAGGCAGGCAGAGAGGCAGGCAGAGGCAGAGAGAGAAGCAGACTCTCTGCCGAGCAAGGAGCCCGATGCGGGACTCGATCCCAGGACACTGGGATCATGACCTGAGCCGAAGGCAGCTGCTTAACCAACTGAGCCACCCAGGCGTCCCTGGTCTTTGGTCTTTTAATTCAATATTTTATTTTACTTTCATCTGCAAGAGTAAAAAGAAACATAGTGTCTCAAAAGCGATTCAGTTTTTCAAGGCTTTTTTTCTCTTTTAATGTTTATTTATTTGAGAGAGAGAGGGAGCAGGGGGAGGGGCAGAGGGAGAGGGAGAAGCAGATTACCCCTAAGTGGGGAGCTGGATTCGGGGCTCGATCCCAGGACCCTGTTGGACACTTAACCGATTGAGCCACCCAGATGCCCCTGTCAGGCCTTTTTGTACGGAATGTCCGACAGCAGAGTAACGTGATTCAGCTGGGGGGGGGGGGAGCTTACTAGGGCTGTTGGCATTCCAGCCTCCAGAGGCCCGTGGTTGAACTCAGGACACGTATACACAAGTGTGTCGTCTCGGTCGTGCTTAAGAGCTTTGCTATTCGCGTGTATTTTTTGTATCACTTTTATTTAGACACACAGCACACATTCACCCACGTAATGTGTACAGTTCAGTGGTTTTCAGTGGATTTACAGAGTTGTTCAGTTATCACAACCAATTTTAGAACATTCTCTTCATTCCAGAAGAAACTCTGTATTATAACCCTTCCATTCCCCCCTCCCTTAGCTATCACTAATTTATTTTCTGCCTCATATATTTGTTTCTTTTGGACATTTCACAGAAAAGGAATCATAGGATCTGTAGTTTTAGCCAAGATTCAGCCCTATTGTAGTATGTCAAGAGGTCGCTCCTTTGTTACGGCGGAATGATGCTCCCCTGTCTGTAGATACCACAGTTCACGCATCCCTTTACCAGCTGATAAAAACTTGGGGTTCCACCTCTCGGCCGTTATGAGTAATGCCCTGACGAACACGGATGTGTCAGTTGTGGTGTGGACGCAAATTTTCCGTTCTTTTGGGTCGACACTTGGGAGTCGAAGAGCGGGACCACCTGGTAACTCTGTTTAACTTTTTGAGGAACTGCCAGACTGTTTTCAGGAGTGGTTGTACCGTTTCTTCATCCCTACCAGCGGGCAGATGAGATTTATGATTTCTCTACATCCTTGCTGGCATCGTCGTCGTCTGCCTGCTGCTGACGGCCATCCCTGTGGGTGTGAAGTGGTGTCTGGTTATGGTTTTGATTTACATTTTCCCAGTGGCTCCCTGCGTTGAGTATCTTTTCTGTTTGGTATTTTCTTTGGAGAAATGTCTATTTGCCTGGTTTTTAATTGGGTTATTTATTATCTTACTATTGAGTTGTAAGAGTTCTTTGTCTATTCTGGATGTAAGTCCCTTGTCAGATACATGACATGCAAATATCTCCTCCTGTTCTGTGGGTGTTACATTTCAGTGAATTCTCAGTGTCCCTGTGCTCCATTTCATTGAGTTCTACTACAGAGTCTTACAATCTTGCTTTGTTTTGTGTTGTTTTTGCTTTTCTCGAAGACATTGTCAAAGTACATTTTATGTGTTTTATGTGTAGGTACTTCATGTAAAATGTGTGTATATGTTATATATACAGTTTAGAATTGTGTAAATTTTTCTGCTCTTTGTTGAAAATTTGGGGAGTGGCCAGTGATGTCGTAAAGGAGCAAGTTTGAACTATTCTTAATGATCTGTCATTTTTAAAATTATTTGTGATTATTAGGACAATCAAGTATTTTACTACTCTTTGTCTTTTCTAAAACTTTACATATTTCATGGCATATGATTCTGTAATTGTGTATCTTCTCTTTAAAAAATTGGTGTAAAGAGTTCTGTCTTGGGTTCAGATTTCTCTTCCCACTTTTTCATCAGTTTGTAAACCGTACTTGACTTGGTCTCTTACTGACGCGGTGTGGGTTCTTTCACTCCCGGAGTTCTTACTCTCCATGAGGCTTCTTTGCAGAGTGTCTCTTCAGTACATAGAGGGGGTTTTTAGCCGCATTTTTAAGCACGTGTTTATACTGCCCCTGCTGAAATCTGGTCAACTTGTATGAGGAAGGCCACTTAAGATTCCTTACACGGATCAGGTCTACTTGGCCACTTCGGATGAATTTGGAAATATGTGGATTTTCTTTTCTCCCCACGATACTTGTGGTGTGGAAGTACTTCTGTGTGCTAGAAGTTGGTCGCTATTTTGTTTAGGGGAGAGAAAAGAAAATATAATTAAGTAGCTCGTGTGGAAACTCTAATTTAAAGCACGTACAAGTTTAGTGATGAGCGCACATCAGAGGTCGTCGCACACAGCTTCCCGGTTCTGCGGGCTGCTCCTCATAGCTAATTAAATTTGCAAAGGGGGTTCCCTGTGTCCCCCCAACCCCACCCCACAGATACACAGAAAAGGAAGAAAAACGAAAAGGACCAGGCGGGATTCTGTGATGATGTCAGTGCACTGTGAAAACAGGCTCAGGGAGTGAATGGAAGGGCTGTATTTGGGAGTCAGAGGGTCTGTAAGTGAAGGCATGTCCTTTTCTCCAGTAATGCAACAGCCTCTCTTCTTGGTCTTACTGGGATGTTGGGGTTATGGGGTCAGGCAATACTGCAACAAGGGGGGGCTCACAGTTACCTTGAGGGGAGTGGCTGGGCTCAGGGAAGCGGTTTCCTCATGTGGGGGAGATGGGGCTCTCTGTGTGTGGGCAGGAGGAAAGAAGGAGCACGCGAGAGGGTCTAGGGCCTGGAGTGGATGGAGAATGTCATGTCGGTCACAGGCTCGTGGGACTGCGGAAGGGGAAGGCCATTTAGAGAGGGAGGTTGTGAAGTTGGCAGAAGAGTCCGTCCTCGGTTTCAGAAACAAGTGCTTTGATATAATTCATGCATGATCCAAACGATATATTTGCTAAACGGTGTTTGGAAAACACAGCCTGGGCCTTCAGAGCCCCGTGGTCCGGAGCTGTACCGGCCGTGCCTGAGCTTGACATGTGGCCAGCGTGACCGGCCGCTGTGTTTTATTTTATTAATTTAAATCTCAGTAGCCACATGGCCAGTACAGTGTGGAACATTCCCGCGGTCAGCACGGGTTCCCCTGGACTGTTCCACCCCAGAGGATTCCATCCTGGGCTTTGAGGCTGCGTGTTTTCCGGTGCTTGTGGCTCGGGCCAGCCTGGCGTCTCCCAGTCGCACTTTGCGTGAAGTGGCCGTCCCTGCTCACTCGGTAGCAGCCTGTGGGAAGGCCCAGGCTCCTGTGGCCTCTTGCACCCCTGCGGTGGTGTCGCACTTCAAAGGATTTTGTTTATATCGTCTTGGGACCATTCCCCTCCCTCTCCATTCCTGCCAGCATAGCCTTGGGCGTGGAGGCAGCAGACAGGCTCTCAGGGTGCACGTGTGGAGGTTGGAGGGGGAGAGGGGGCCCCCGAGATGGCTCTGCTCCTGCCCTCTGTCCTCCTCCCCCAGCATGACTTCTGGGTCTCATGCGCCTGTCACACCCCACCACCCCTGTCCAGGTGCGTGCACTGTGGGGTCGTTCACCTGACCTTGGCCTTGCTGAAAAGCCACATCCAGGAGCGACACTGCCAGGTTTTCCACAAATGTGCGTTCTGCCCCATGGCCTTCAAGACTGCCAGCAGCACCGCGGACCACAGCGCCGCCCAGCACCCCACCCAGCCTCACAGACCCTCCCAGTGAGTGTGGCATGGGGCCGGCAGGCCTGTGGGGTGGAGCCGAGTGGCCTGGGCTCTCTAGGGGAAGGTGTTAGGATGGACCAGAGAGCTGGGGCTGGCGCTGGGGCTGCCCGGGGTTCACTGAAGGCGTCCCAAGGCAGGGGAGTAGCCACATCGGCTCAGAGCAGTGCTTTCCCAAACCCGACCCTGGTACAGAGAGAGCGGAGATGGGGCGGAGGTTCCGTGCCCAGAGCCCGGCCCCCTCACTCCCTAGGCCTCATCTCTCCAGGCTCATTTATAAGTGTTCCTGTGAAATGGTCTTCAACAAGAAGAGGCACATTCAGCAGCATTTTTACCAGAACGCCAGCAAGACGCAGGTGGGCGTCTTTAAGTGCCCCGAGTGCCCACTCCTGTTCCTGCAGAAGCCAGAGTTGATGCAGCACGTCAAGGTGGGGTGCCCCGGGGAAGGAGGCTGGGGAGGAGGGCACGCGCCTCAGGCCGGGGGTCTGACTCTGTGCCTCTTTCCCCTTACCCAGTCAGTAATCGCTCTCCCCATCCCCAGAGCACCCACGGTGTTCCCCGAAACGTGGACGAGCTGTCAAGCCTCCAGTCTTCATCGGACACGTCCTCAAGCCGCCCCGGCTCTCGAGTTCCCACCGAGCCCCCAGCCACGAGCGTGGCTGCTCGGGGCAGCTCCCTGCCTTCGAGCCGCTGGGGCAGGCCTGAGGCCCATCGCAGGGCCGAGGCCAGGCCCCGGCTGAGGAACACTGGCTGGACGTGCCAGGAGTGCCAGGAGTGGGTTCCTGATCGGGAGAATTACGTGTCCCACATGAAGAAGAGCCATGGTCGGGTAAGTGTCGGCACGTGGTCCCCGGGCAGTGCCAGAGTCCTGGACTTCTGTCCTGTGTGGTCAGAGCCCCCTTATGTGGTGGACCCCTCGGGGTGTCCGGGGCTTTGGGCAGGGTGGGTCCCACGGAGCCCGAGGGCTTTCTGCCTGTTCCGCCTGCGTACAGAGACCCCCGGAGCGGTCCTAGAGTTCTGATGCTTTGCGTCCTATCGTCTCCCGCAGGCGTTGAAGCGGTACCCGTGTCGGCAGTGCGAGCAGTCCTTCCACACCCCGAACAGCCTGCGCAAACACATCCGCAACAACCACGACACAGTGAAGAAAGTCTATACTTGCGGGTGAGTGCTGGACATGCCAGCCAGGAGGCCTGAGGTTCAAAAGGACTGTGGCCGGCACTGCTGGGGCTCTACTCTGCTGTGAGATCAGGGGAGCGGGGGGCAGAAGCAGGAGAGAAGCAAGTTTCTCCTGGAAAGATACGGCGGCTCAGTCGGGAGGCCGGGCCGGTTGGGGATGAGCTTCTAGCCGCTGTGGTGGCCCCGGAGCCTCCCCGTTCCTGCCTCCCTCACCCCAGACTACACTGCCAGTCAGCATGACCGGCCCTGAGCTTTAGGAGGAGTGACGGTGATGGGACCATGTGCCCCGTCTGGCCTCCTCCTTGCTGACCACTGGCCCAGCCTTGGGACCTCTGGGCAGTGATGGCAGGGAGTGGAGAGAGATCATAGCTCAGGGCCGGGACGAGCACTCTGACTTGCTGTGGTCTGCCACCTTGGCCGGCTTGCCGGCTCTGTGTCTCTGGGGAGTGCCCGGCACTACCCGGCCACCTGATGACCCCCAGCCAGCTCTCTCCCCAGGAGCCAGAAGCAGCGTGCGCCTCACCTCCCTGCCAGTGTGCGTGGCCCCGCCAGTCTCCCTGGGGCCTGTCACCTTAGACCCTGTCTTCGGGCTATGCTCCCGCAGGTACTGCGCAGAGGACAGCCCGAGCTTTCCTCGGCCCTCCCTCCTGGAGAGCCACATCAGCCTTATGCATGGTATCAGAAACCCTGATTTGAGCCAGACGTCCAAAGTCAGACCTCCGGGTGGACATTCCCCTCAGGTGAGCGTGGGGCCCCTGCCCCTGGGAGTGACTTGCTCCATGAGCCTGTTGAGCCGGCTGCAGGGGGCCCATGTGTGACAGCGGCCATGGAGCCTGCAGCGGCAGCAGCTTCCCTCCCCGTGGCTCATTCTCTCGTCCTGTGCGGGACCGCACGCAGATGAAGGACAGGGACAAAGACCTGGGAGGCAGCCATTGGCCTTTTGTGCCTGTGGCTTTCCTGTGCCTGGTGGACACTGGAGCGGATCCACAGGTGCCGTGTCAAGCTGCTGCCGCCCCTCTAGTGCCGGGAGGGGTGGAGGGGGTAAGGGGTGCAGGGCTGAGGGTGGCAGCGCTCCCCTGAGTGTGTGCGCGTGTGTACATGTGTGTCACACACACACTCGTTACGGGAGGAGCCAAACCTAGACTCCCGGGATCCTGGACCCTTGCTGTATGACACAAGCGCTGTTCTGTGCCCTTGTCCCATTTCCGGTGAACCTGAGGAGCGACATGCTTTCCCCTCCTCACGGCTCGCTCTCCCACACCGGGGCAGGGAGGGCTGCTCCTCAGAGCGTCAGGCATGTCTGGGAAACTCGGAGAGCTGCCCGGGGTTGCAGGGCGTTTCTTCCTGGCTGCTTGGAGAAGGGTGTTGGTTAGCCGAAGGCCTTTCACATGCGGCAGGTGGGGTGTCCGCTGACATTTTGGGGACGTCTATCTGCGATCGACATGCACACCCCCACCCTCCAAACGCACATGCCCTTTGATCCAGTGGTTCTGTCCCTGGGATTGTTCCGTCTGACGCCTTTGGCCTCGGGCCTGAAGGGGTCCGCTCCCCGCACCGCAGGGCCATGAGCCGTACGACAACGCAGGAGCGCAGCTTCATGTTGCGGGAGGGGACCGTTCGCCCCGCCGATGCTATGTAGGGGCCCTCCTGGAGACAGCGGCCAGCCCGTGTCCTGAAGTAGGAAAGTACGCTGGAGCAAAGTGTGCGTGTGGTGGTCTCATTTTGTAAAAGGCAACAGCTGTCCCTTTGTGGGTGCACAGACGGTCTCTCGGGGAGCCGCAGAACCCAGGCCATGTGGCCTTCTCTGGTGGGCGGGTCCGGGGAGAGCTGGCCAAGAAGGACTTCTCCTGCCCGTCCCATATCCTTGGAATGTGGTGCCACATGCATATGTTACATGAGACAAAGCAAAAGCAAAACCAAAAACCTGAAACAAACCAAATCTAAACCCACGGTTTGGGGCTGGGGCAAGCCCGGCTGGGGCGGGGCTCCTGGGAGTCCGTGGGTGGCAGCGTTGGGGTGTGGGGCTGCGGCTGGGCATGGGCTCCGCCTGACACCGCTCACGCCGTGTCCCCTTGTAGGTGAGCCATCTGAAAAGACCAGGCAGCGGAGCCGGGGACGCTCCGGGCACCAGCAATGGCGCGGCCGTCTCTTCCACCAAAAGGCACAAGTCCCTGTTCCAGTGTGCGAAATGTAGCTTTGCCACGGACTCGGGGCTCGAGTTCCAGAGCCACATACCTCAGCACCAGGCGGACAGCTCCACGGCTCAGTGTCTCCTCTGTGGACTGTGCTACACCTCGGCCAGCTCCCTCAGCCGCCACCTCTTCATCGTCCACAAGGTGAGAGACCAGGAGGAGGAGGCGGCGGAGCCCGAGGAGGGCTCCGGGGAGGAGGTGTCCATGGAGACCAGGGAGAACGGACTGGAAGAATGTGCCGGAGAGCCTTTGCTGGGCGACCCAGAGGAGAGATCGCGAGGCCCGGCTTCCGAGGAGGACGGTGCCCCAGATGCTCAGAGTCCAGCACAGGCCTCTCAGGACCAGGACAGCCCCGCTCCGTCCCCTCAGGTGTGACCGGAGGCTCTGCGGTGCATGCGGTCGGGGTGCTGCCCCGGCGTGCCCCGTCTGCCGTGTGGACAGTGGGGGAGAGAAGGCTCTGCCCCAGTGTGAGTGTGGCCAGCTGTGCCCTGGAGCCGTGTCTGCCCCGAGCTGTGGGGGGCTGGGCGTCTCCAGCCCCGGGAAATGTGCGGTCACCCAGGACCCTCCCAGCTCCGAATCTGCTTCTGTTATTTATGGCTTTGTGCTGCTTCTTGGTACCCCAACCCTTGTCTGTGTCCTTCCAACCCCAGGCCGCTTACGTGGCCCGGCCCCAACGCTGTCAACTCGGCTTGAAACCCCTCAGCACTGTGCTCTTCTGGGAGGTTCCCACGTGCTGCCTTCAGCCGGGGCTCTGGTGGGAGCCCTCCTCCCTGCCCGCAGAGCCTGAGAAGGGGGATGCGGGTGCTGGCCGCCCCCTTGGAGAGCTCGCCCAGGCTGGCTCGGTGAGGGCCCTCGATCGTTGCCCTTCCTTCCTGCCTTCTCTGATTCTTTCCCCTGCAAAGTAGTCCTGGAGAATGAATTGTCACTGGCTCCTTCCGTCTGTGTGGGTGGGAGGAAGTTCCGCAGCATGCCTGCTTGGAACTGGGGAGAGCAGGCGGCGCGGCCAAGGTGGGCAGACCCCGTCGGAGGGAGCTGTGCGTCCTGGCTCTGCCGCGGTTCTGCCCTTCCTGACCCACAGGGTTGGGGGCACACAGACGTTGGAATATTTGTACTCTTGCTCCTGTGCCATTAGAGAGGCTGCCGCCCCAGGCAGGCCAGCCCCTCCTCCTCTCGGCTACACTCATGTTGCTCAGACTATATTTCAAATAAAAAATCTTCTTACCACGCGGGTAGGCTCTTGTATTCCTCTTCAAGTGAGCCTGGCCCTGCCCTGCTCCACTTCAGTCTCTCTCAGACTCCCTCCCGGTCCCATCTCAGGGAGAGCAGCGTGCCTGCTGTCCGAGGACGGTCCTGTCTGGATTCTGGAGTTGAGGTTAGGAAACCGGGAGCTTGGTACGTGGTCCCTGAGAGACTTTCTAAGGACACAAGGGGAGGGTCTTAATACTGGCCAAGGGGCCCCCGCGAGGCCTCCCCGGGGCTAGCAGCATTGGCCTCAGGGCCTATTGGAATGTTCTGGGCACCCCCATCTTTCCTACAAATGGATTTTCCTCCTGAGAGACCCCTTTACTAAGGTGGGGGTGGGGGGAGGGATAGAGGGGAGGAATTCTAGGGTTACCTCGCAGTGTTCAAAAGGTCCTGGTGTTGCTGCTGCCACGGGGAGCTCTCGGGCGGCAGCATTGGGACTAGACAGGGCAGGCTGGTCAGAATTTGGGCCCAACCAAGCCCCAGGGGCAGGCCACGTGGTGTCCTCTGACCCCCGACCCAAGCTGCTGCTGTGCGGCTGGGGGTGCGACTGGGCCCGGCAGGTCTAGGACAGCAAGGGGAAGTGGGGACTAGCCGAGTTCTTAGAGGTGCTCTTTCAAGGAAGGCATTAAGTGTCAGTCGTAAATTGTTAAGTCAGATAAATACGTCTGACCTTTTCACAACAGAAAAAAAAGTGCATTTTCTTTTTCTGTCCCATGCCAGATTTTTAGTGGAAATGCTCATGACCCTGGGACGGTTAGTGCTCGCCTCCGTGTTGGAGAGGCTGTGCTGTTTAAGGATTGCTACGCTTGGCAAGGCCACCATGTCCCTCTTTCCCAAGCAGGTAGTGAGGCTGCCTGGAAGGCCTGAGCTCACCCCATCTTGGCTGTCTGCCGTCCCTTTCCTAATTCCACTGTAGGTGCCCACCCCACACCCCATGGTCCATTTGTGGGAACACTACCGAGGAGGCTCTGAGAAGGGCTTGAGATGGATTGTGGATCTCTTCCTGCCCCTAGGCAGTGGTAGCTGGAGTGGGGGCAGGGTAGCGAGCTGCAGGCGCCTCTGCCTGGCCGGACCCCATCCGCCCTCCTTCCTGGGGATGGTGCGGGGTGGACAGGATGCCCGGCTGCTCACCAGGAGACCTGGGGCACAGCCTGGATTCTGCCCTAAACTGGCTCTTAGGAAACCCTCTCCCTTCACCACCCCCGCCCCGCCCCACTGCTGAATAGTCCTGGTAATTCCCGTCCAGCTCACTTCCCGGGCTTCATGAGATGCTGAGCGCGCAGGCACTATACATGTGCGATGGATTCTTGCCATTAGGGTGCAGGGGTGGGGGGTGAGGGGCCCCTCCCCCTGCCGCTGGCATGCAGGTGGGCCCGTGCACGCTGCTGCAGCAATAGTGATGTGGCCCGCATCCCCCTGATTTTTGTAATCACAGGGACCTCCCAGTTAACCCACCTCTACGGCACGGAGAAGAACAGAGGCTCAGAGAGGTCAGAGAACCTGCTGGGCTGCCTGTACGTGCTGGTGCCATGTCAGGTCCGTCTGGTTCCTAAGTCCACAGCACCCCCCACCCCACACTGCCTTCCTGGGCTGGCTGCTTTGGCTGCCTCCCAGCCTGTCAGCACTTCGCAGCCATCAGGACACCTGTTTTCCTACCTCCTCTGTGGCTGGGTGCACCCCTCCCCCCTCCCCCCGGAGTGCCAGGTTCTCCTTGGAGCCGGTCTGTGCCTCGTCACCCCAGGGAGAATCCTGTGCAAGACATCTGTATGGGATGTTCTGAAGCAGAGGGGGGATGCCCATGATTTTTCATTTACCTTGGGGGTTGATCTTGCTGTTGAAGACCGTCAGTTTTGGGGGGGCCATGCCAGAAAACATGGTTCCCTCAGGGCCCAATATCTTCTGCTCTCTTCTTTTCTGAAGATGTTTTTAGTGGGTGTGCTATCTTATCACTTGTCGTCATCAGCGAATGCTTTTGCTGTAACAAGTGCTTATGTACACGTTCTCGGGAGTGACCTTTCTGCTGATGGAGTTAAACAGATAAGCTCCCCACCCCTGTAGAAACTACAGCCTAATTTTCACGGGCTTGACGAATGACTAGTATTTATTTTCCAACCACTTTATCTCTGTACAAGATGTGCCGAATTACTATAATTGGTGTAGAAAGAACTGTTCCCTTAACTTATGTAAACAGTCTGGTTTTAAAAACTGTAGCAGGTGTGGCTTAGCAAGTTCGAGACATTTTGCGCAGGAGCCCCCTGCCTGCCCCGTTCACCAACTGTACACTCAGCTCTGGCCGCACTTTTCCTTACTATAAAAATTTTTTTGTTGCTTTTTTTTTTTAATTAATACACATATCTGGTAAGACATCCAAACAATACAAAAGAATATACACTACAAAGTAACCTTCCGATCGGAGGTCAGCCTTCAGTTCCCCAGCCCCCCTCTAGAATTTATCACTGTTATCTAACCAGATCTTGTGTACACTTTCTGAGCAATTCTATGCATTTACAAGTTTATAAATATGTATATTTATATATCTATTTTTAATACAAATGGTAGCATTCTATGCCCAGTGTTCTGCAGCTTGCTTTTTTCACTTGTGTAATCGAGATTGTTCCAAATTCATCCAGCGGATCAGTCTCATTCTTTAGAAGCTCCTAGCACAGTTCCTTACATACAGTAGTGGTCCAAAGAGTGTTGGGATGAGTGAGTGAATGGAGGCACGTATGCACCCGCGCGTGAAAGCATCTGATTCAACTGGTAGCCACAAAGTCCTCTCAGGTCTGCTCTGAGCAAAGCAGGATGTTCTGGATTCTAGAATGTGTTGTGTCATCACCCCTCCACCCCCACCCCCATCTTTTCCAAGGGATCCAGGCTGTTCTTGACTTTGTCCACCAACAGATGCCACAGCAGTCTTAGGAAAGTAGGTGCAGGGAGCCTTGAGCCCCTTTGGAGGAAAGAGCAAACTGAAGGAGCCAGATCCCAAGAATAGGATTTTTTTTTTTTTTTTTTGAGGTCCCTATTTAAAATGCCTCTCTCTGATCAGAAAATGACATCGCGTTATTAGAATAAAAAAGTGCGTATTTGTAACCCCATCCTACTTTTGCGGTTCTTTTCATGTCTGTGTATCAGTATCCAGTTCTTTCCAACTGCTTTTCCAACTGGACTCCTGTTTAGTTCACAGCCAAATATGATACGATTGTGATAGTAACAGAAATCGAACATTTCTACATGACACACGGGATTCTCACATTCATTCTCTTACGTAGGCGCAGAGCAATCCTTGGAGGTGGATACTGCTGTTCTTTTGGAGGTTCAGAGTGGTTGAGGAATTTCCCTAAGGCCACGGAGCTCATAATGGGCAGAGCTGGGTTTCATTCAGGTGTGACTAGCACTGCCCTGTCTCTGATTTTGAACACTACCTTTTCTTTTAAGATTTTATTTATTCATGAGGGACAGAGGTAGAGGCTGAAGGAGAAGCTGGGGGGCTAATGCGGGGCTCGATTCCAGGACCCCATGACCTGAGCCGAAGGCAGACGCTTAACCGACTGAGCCACCCAGGCACCCCAGTACCCTACTTTTTTCTACTTGGCATTGTATCTGGACAATTTCCATGTCTCTGCAAAGCCCCTAAATCCTCATTTTCAATCACTGTAATCATTTTCAAATCAATTTACTTACCCATTTCCTGTTTAACATTTAAATTTCCCGACTGGTGGGGCGCCTGGGTGACTCAGTGGGTTAAAGCCTCTGCCTTCGGCTCAGGTCATGATCTCAGGGTCCTGGGATCGAGCCCGCATCGGGCTCTCTGCTCAGCGGGGAGCCTGCTTCCCCCTCTCTCTCTGCCTGCCTCTCTGCCTGCCTCTCTGTGTACTTGTGATCTCTCTCTGTCAAATAAATAAATAAATCTTTAAATAAATAAATAAATAAATAAATTTCCCGACTGGTGAGTGCGGTGCAGAGTCCTGCGCAGACAGCTTTTTGCTTCTGCAGAATTATTTCCTCAGGGGGTTATCCCTATTTTCCTTGACTAAACTTCCTGGCAATGTGATAGAATGAAGAAAGCCGGCGACTGGAAATCAGAAGCGCTGGGTTCCAGTGGGAGCTCAGTGACTAAGTTCTTTGATCTTTCTTGGCCTCCGTACCCCCATCTGTCAAATGGGGTGGGTGTTGGGTTAAGTCTGTGGGGATCCTGAGATCTGGCTAGATTTTATCTTCTCGTTCCTTATGTTTATGCCAAAAGAGAGGAGACTTGCCTAAAGGCAAGAATTCTTAATCAGATTTCTTCTCCTGTTTAATTGTTTTATTTATTGACTCTTGGTCTAGCCATATACAGAAGTAGAAAGGATCCCTCTGTGCCCCCTTCCCCCTAGGCAGTTATCACTTTCATTTGCATTTATTTATGTTGTAATGGGCATCAGATCATTGCTTTTTCAGATGGCGTCTGGCTCTTGGATAAGTACCTCTTGTCAGTCCTTTCCAAGTCTGAACTGTTGACTTTTAAGGATTTAAAAGTGTCTTCAGATCCAGCTTTCATTAGGGGCCTGGGTCCAGAGGAATTCTTGAGCTACTTCACTGCGTCATGCATTGGCCTTTTAAGATGCTTCTATTTTTTATCATACTTACTATCGCAAATTGAAGTTGAGTTTTTAGTGAATAAATGCTAGAAAAGGAAGCCAATGTATATGTAACTGATTGTAATGGAAGATGGGGCAAAAGGACATGATAAAGCCATTTAAGGCAGTTCTGAGTGGGAAAAGCCCCCATAGCTAGTGAGAGCTCCAGTGACCAGCAGCGCATCTGTCTTCTCGGTCAGGCGTGGCATCTATATATCACGGTGATAGTCTACGATCCGGTCGACCTTGCTTCTACAGCTTAGCCCCACAGCTCTGGCCTCCACTTCCTGTGAAGATGGGGATGTTGACCATGCCTTTGATGTCTGAAGAGTGGGTAACCTGCTCTCTGGTGAGGGGTTCGTTCATTA